GCAGGAAAGACCATCTGCATCGTCACTCGGAACAACACAGCGGTCGATACAAAAACTTCAGATGCACACAATGCAATAAGATTTTCGGCAATGAATTGACGTTGAGGAGTCACGTGATAGCAACTAATCACAAAACGACGTTGCACGGGAAAGAATACGATCCGAATAAAAGGATAAAGAGGGTGGCAGCCAGAGCAGCCCAAAGGATCATCGATCAAATCAAGACAGACCTCAGTCTCGATGATTTCGAAGAAGATGAGCGAGACAGAGAAAAGGATAAGGATTTTGACGAGGTCAAGGCTGAAATGTGCGCAACAAAGAACGACCATTCGGTAACGATAGCTCAATATTTTTATAGCTTAATACACACTTATGTATGTATGTATGTATTGTAGCCCAAGATCCTAGAAATTTTGTCGAATTAAATTACTTCTCTAGGAAACATGTATTTTTTTATTTTATTTTTTTATAATTTATTAACAACTTGATACTAAGGGTAAGAAGTTTATTTAGATCTATCTATAGCCAATTTTAACATTTAACAAAATCTTAAATCATAGATAGTAGTAATAGTAATGATAATAATAATAATAATAATAATAATAATAATAATAATAATAATAATAATAATAATAATAATAATAATAATAATAATAATAATAATAATAATGGCAATGTTAGGGAAAAATGTAGTTTCAAAGTATAGATTCGTTCGAGAATTTCTGGTAAATTTATTCTTATCGTGGAATTATTTTTATTAGAAATTATTGAATAGACATTTTTGTCACAAAGTGAAAAGTAAATTTCGATCATACATAAACTTATAAGTAAAGAGATTAATCATTAACGTTTATCAGTATACCGATAGCATTATTAAGCTTATGATTTAAGATGATTTTTTGAATTACGCATTAATTTTATATTTGTTATATTTGTAATCTGTGCCACAGGCAATGAAAAAGATTCAACGCTGCTCCATGAATTTTTACTGCGCGACTTGTAATCAGAAATACAGCTCTAAACATGCTCTTACAAAGCATATGGAACAGCATGTAAAAGAAGAGAGTACAATCAAACAAGATAAAGTAAAAAATGTCGAGGAACATCGAGAGAATCAGGAAAATGAAGATAACGATGAGGAAGATGATGACGATTTTGAAAGTGGACTCGATTGGCCCACGGATAGTCATGAGTGCCTCACGTGTAAGAAGCGCTACAGCACGAAGAAGTCTTTACTGCGTCATCAACTGCTGCACGAGGAGCCGAACTTCGAGTGCGATATCTGCAATGTAAAGTTTTATCGAAAGGATAAACTGAAAGCACACTACGATAAGTGCTCGGAGAAGAATCCCGATCAAGTGCGTAAATGTAATATCTGTGGCGATAGCTTTGAAAACAATGAAATATTGAGGGAACATAGGATCAAACACGTGACGGAAGGCATATTGACAGAGGAGGATTTGCGAGAAATCGAACCGCGACCCGAGGATAAAAATGAAGAAAAGGCACCGCGTAAAAGGCGAACGGATATTGTCGGCCTTGAATGCACCGAGTGCAACAAACGTTACACATCCAGGAAAGGATTATTAAGGCATATACAAGTTAGTACTTTGATGCAGTATATTTGTTTTATCCAATTTTCGTTTATACTAAATGCCAATTATTGGTCAAATATTATAATTATTATGTTGTATTTCTTTCTTATTTTCGTTGATTGAATTCTTTGGAAAATATGCACAAGGTAAATATATATATATATATATATATATATATATATATATATATATTGTAAAGGAATTTACGATTGAATTAAATTTTTTTTGTTTATTTATTTTTTATATTTAAATTCGGAGAGGCAACGACATGGCTGTTCTTACAATTTAACAAAAATATCTAAATTTCTGATAAAATGTGTATTATTTCTGAAATCGGATGACATATAAAGTTTTTATAATTTTCTTTCTACAGTGAAAGTATACGCCTTATCTTATGTCAAAAATACTTAACCAATCTAAAACGATTTTCTTTCCAAACTACTATAGGTACACGAAGGGAAGAAGTATCTGTGCGACATATGTCCAAAGAAATTTTATAGGCGAGAGCATCTGAAAATTCATGTAGCAAAACATAACATGATTAAACCATACAAATGCCCTCGATGTACAAAGCGATTCATCAAAGAAGAGCAATTAAACAATCACTTGACCAAGCACGACAGAAGTTTCAAAAAGGCAAAAGAACCCGATACCTCGAAAAGATTTTTGTGCGAAATATGCTCAAAGAGCTTTACTCAATCGACTACTCTCATAGCGCATTTACGGGCTCATAATGGCATTAAGCCTTACGTCTGCGAAGTTTGCTCACGGCCCTTCACAACGAATGCCTACTTAAAGATGCACATGAGGACGCATACGCAGGAACGACCCTACATCTGTCAATACTGCTCCAGGGCGTTTGCCCGAGCTGATACTTTGGCCAATCACTTAACTACGCACACTGGGGAAGCCAAATACCATTGTAAATACTGTCCGAAGAACTTTCGAAGACTTAAATCGCTTAAGGAGCACGTTTTTATACACACCGGGCAGCGACCGTACGCCTGCCCGACTTGCGACAGAAGGTTTAATAATAATGGTAGTAGGTACGCCCACAGCAAAAGGTGCAAGCAGAATGCATTGCAAGCCAGAGCTCCATCGCTTGGCACGCAGCTCATCGCTACCGAGCACGAACAACACGAACAACACGAACAAAACGAGCAGCAGGAGCAGGAACAACAGGAGCAGGATCAGCAAGAGATACAGAATCAGCTACAGTCACAGAGGCTACATCAGACTACCATTGATCAGGCTCAAATAATCAAACCTCAGAATATTAAAACCATTACGATTACACGACCGGACGGCGCTCTTGGCCAACAACATGTTATGGCGCATCAGGAAATTCTGATGCCTCTGATATTGCCGCTTACAGTTACGCTTGCCGATGTCGGCGAAGAGGTCATACTTCCCGAAGGGACGAAAATTTTCACCGCGTAAGTGGGTGGCAACATTGAGATCTGTGATGAATTGAGAGATAATTGGATTGTTAGCGAGACTCTCGGTCAAACTGACGTATACTCATATAGACTGGTTAATTTTCCATTTCGAGGGAACAGTTTTAAGAAGATTATTCATTTTATGTATGAATTAAACAACGATCGTATGAAAAATGCATTTTTTTGGATTGAATATTTAGTTTTTTTTTTATTTTTTTTTTTTGTTTTTTTTTGTTTTTTTTTTTTGTTTTTGCAGTTGACGAAATTATGAAAAACGGAATTATGTGAATTTTTGCTAATATAGAGGTGTTGCTTTAATAAATAGAAAAACATGATTCTTTATAATCCTCCTATGATAGACCATAAACAAAGAAAAGTTATTGAGAATATTAAAAGAATATATAATTTAATAAATGATAAGAGATGATTTATTAAAACTTTTGAAAAACTGTGTTATAATTTTGACATCATTTTTTTTTATACAATTGTATAGTTTATTTACTATTATGCAATACGTTGCTTGTTTTTTTTTAGTCTTTTTTGTTTTGTTTTGTTTTTTAATGATGTAAATTTATTTGAGCAACACTGAATTAATGTAAAAAAGTTAGAAAATTTGATTAACTTTATAATTCGAAATATAATAATTTATATTTACAAAAAAATCGAGAAATTTTATTTCAAGGCAAATAAGGTTTGACCAATTTTTTGACAACTTTCAATGACAATTTAATGACATTGTAATATTTGATATTTTCATAAAACCAAATTAATGTATTATGGATTATGTATTACAGTCGATCGTAAATTAATTTCTTACACACATTTATTATAAATTTTGCATTGCAAATTTGCAAACAAGTAATACAACCAATTATCTACCAATAAAATATCTTTTAATTTAGATTTACAATAATATCAGATTAATTCATAAAATCATTAGAAACTATTTAAACGTATCGACTATTTTATAATTTTACGAAATTATTAACAATAATAATTATTATTATTATTATGTATTATAAAGCTTATGATTCAATTAATATGAAAATGTACTCTTCCATTTTTATATACTGTATATCAATTCATACAGCATTGACTGATCATTAGCATTCGATATAATTTTTGAGAATTAATAAATTAGTAGTTTTACGGAACTCCTGAAAGTCACTCGTATTATATGTTAATATATTCAATTATATTATTTCTAACGTTTCTTAAGTACAAAATTTGATTATATTCACGACAAATTTTGAAAGAAATACATTTAAAAAATAATAATATATATATATATATATAGATATATAGATACATGTCTGCGTGCGTGTATGCGTGTGCGAATTTTTATTTGGAATATAAAAAGTAATTTTGTTTTCTAATATTTTACTATAATTCAATAGATTTAAATAAGTTTGAATAATAAAAATGTAAATAAATGCATCTTTTAGTAAATTTTTGAATTATCAGTTTGTGTACAATTGCTAAGTAATAATGAAAATTTGATTATCTTTAAAACCTCGTGTTATTATGTACAAGTATTAAGAAATACATCTTGCTTTGTAATATTTTTGAACTTTTTATATATTACTACCACTTGAAAAAGTAGAATATTAAAACTTAAAGTTTTCCTATTAAATATAATTTTTTATAAGATATATATTAGTTGTAATTATATTCCGAATGATTCCATTGTTTTACATATGTGTATATATATATATATATATATATATATGTATGCATGCATGCATGTATGTATGTGTGTATGGATGTATGAGTAGGTGTGTACACACTGATGTATAAATTAAAAAATGATGAATAGAAATTTGACTTAAAAATATTGAATTTGTTAAAAAAAAAGATTACAGAAACCTGTAAAATTGATAATTTTATATCAGAAAGTGAAATTTTTAAAAGTAAATGTGATGGATATTATTTATAGATATAAAATAGTAAAAATTTCTGGTTCATTTTCATTTTTATAATTTACAAATAAGTATGTCAAGTAATTTATTTTATATTCCATATAAAATATAGAATAAAAAATATTTTACATATAATAAAAAAGACCAGAAGTCACTGAGCATTCATTTCGATAATGAAAAGAGGTGGTGAAAGTTGATTTTATAAATAGATAATAAGTCATTGATGAATATTTGATGTATGAGTGCATTGATCGACTGATAAATAAATACGTTGTAAAATATATAAATTTACATTGTACAGATAAATATAGTGAAATATTTTTGTTTAATCGGAAAATGTAATAATTTTGTTCTTATATTCATTGAATAAGAATAATGTGTAAAAAAATGTTTTCCTTCACTAAATATAGAAAAAATGATTATTAGTTTTTAATTTTATTATTGTTATGTATTGAATTAAGCTTTGTTATATCCTTATTTCTTGTGTTAATTGAACACTGTAAAATTATTAATTTAGTATGTAAAGAATGTAAAAATCACTTATCCATTGATTAGCATAAAAAATGATAGCATATTAATATAATTTTTACATAATATAATTATAATATAACGTAATTTTTATAAACATTCTAAATTTATTAATCGTGCGATAATATATGTATAATATTGTTTGGTGATTTTTATATTTCTTTAAATATTTTTGTATAACATTATTATTATAAATAAAATTTAGTTTTATATTTGTACATGATATTTAAATAGACTATAAATGCAAAATTGAAATATATATATAAAGCGAAATTATCTTTTAATTAGTTAATATTTCTACTATAATTTATATGTAAATATTTAAAATGTGAATAAACAAATATCACAGATACAAAGTTTAATCTTGTTACACTATATTGTTATATTATATTTGCTTTTTTTATATGTTAAAAATACAATGTGAAATAGGTATTTTGGTACAATATCAAAGTATGCTTTGGTAATGAAAAAAGAAAAGTTTATTTCCTTTCAAAATGATTTTTCTATTTTTAATGATTTTGATATGATTTCTTTTTACTTTACTTATTTATTAAATTAATAAAATATTTAATTGATAATTAACATATATTTCAATTTTGAATTATAAATAAAATAAAATAATAAAAAATCTTAATACATTCGTTTTACATTAAAGATTTAAAATATATTTAAAAATTTATTTAATGTTTATGTTCTATGTGAACAAAAAGTCTAAAAATACGAGCTAATAATATATTAATATAAAAGTGCATTACATTAATAAGCTTATACTTTACAATGTATGAATTAATTATGCAAAGTTGAAATGTATCTGATTTTAGATTATAATTTTTATTAGAGTCAGTTTGGCAAGTCATTTTTTAAAAAAGAATCCTGAATAAATTAACAAGAACAAATAACATTAAAAGTATTGTTTAAATATTCTTGAATGTCGTGTTTTTAATATTTCAATTACTTATAATTTTTTGTATATATAATTTTCAATCATACAGATATGCGTTTAATTAACGTTTAATTCGTTTAATTCGTTTAATTTTTTTTTTTTTTTTTTTTTTTAATCCATATATGAAACAAATTAAAACTATAATTTAATATTGGTATAATACACTTGATGTAATCTATATATAAAGTAATCATTATTATTTATTCTTAAAATTTATTCTTATTTTTGTAATAACGAAATAAGATTTTAAAAGAAAATAGTTACGTTACAATAGTTATTCGTTTGAATAAAAATTACTATTTTAAAACTTTTTATTATTGAAAAATTGAATGCAGGTGTTATATGATTTTAATAGATAAATATGTTAAGATATTTATTTTTTCATAAAATTGAATCAATACAATAAGAATTTGTGCTAAATTTTTGTTTATACTTTATTAATTATTCAAATTTATGTTTAGGATAGCTCTATGGCATAAATATCATTATTACAATTTTGAAGATCAGAATTACGTATAATATTTTATTTGTAAATAAATAATTATACAAATGTTTATCCTTTTTTTGTTGAATCTTCAATATTTTACAACACAATACATTGATATTGAGTTGAACAAAAAATTTTTTTATAGTTATCCAATAGTATGTGAAGTTTTTTCTAGAAATATTGCTTGCCGTAGTAAAATGTTCCTAGAATATTATGAATGCAAACTTTAAAAAATCACGCTAGTAATATATTGTAAATGAAAATAACTTTTTCAAAATTTTATGTAGTTTATCATGAAGTGTTGTTAACTTTGTTTACAGGAGAATTAAGGGGATTTTAATTTTTAATTTTTAAATATTAATTGTCTTTTTGTTGTAGAAATAAATTTTATTATGTTTAACGTAGTTCGAAACTTAGCTACCAACGTCAATAAACGCAATGCTAAAGAATATCTTAAAAAATCTAAACCTAAATTTTCAAAAAATGTGAGATTGAAAACTATGCCAAGTAAATAAATGATTATTTGTTGTACTTATATTAAGAAAATAATTGATGTCTTTAGAGATAATTTTTTACATATTAACGCGACGATATTCCACTATTTATTCAAATAATTGTAATTCATAATAAATATTATAGAATCATAGCAAAATGGTATTGTTTTCAAATTATATTTGAATTACTTATTTTATTGTAATAGCGAATATAAATTTAATATGTAGAATAGCAGATAATATATTAAATACATTGTGTCAAAGTGATATTTTTATGTTTTTTTTCTTTCAGTATTTAAATATCCTGTAAGTAAAGGAGATTGCAGAGTATATGTTTGGGGTTTACAAGAACATGGAGCTCTTGGAACTATAAAAAAAGTTTCATTCGGAGAGGAAGGTGTTGCTTTTATTGGAACTCCTCATCGATTATCATTTGCAGAATATCATAAAATACTTGATATTACATGTGGTTATGGATTTACAGTATATGCAGTTCAGTCGAAAGATAATAAAATTCTATATGGAAGCGGTATAAATTCAGACTCTCAGCTTGGTATGGTATTAACTAATGATTTGGATTATTAATATTTATTTTATGATAGCGATCTATTTATTTTATTAATTTTTTTATTTCTAATTTAAAATCACAGGGTATCATCCATTAGATGAAAAATTAAAAATTCCAATTATTAAGGAACCAAGGCCAATTTATATACCTTTGAAAGAAAAAACAACTAAGGTCCTAGGACTGGCTGCCGGTCGAGCACATTTGCTTATTTTAACCGACGAAGGACTTTTTACTTTAGGAAATAATGGCTATGGCCAATGCGGTAGGCCAATTATTGGTAACGAAAATTATGTAAAAAGTAAAGTCGTTCATTGTATACCAAATGTAGAAGGGGCAAAAATTACTGCTGTGACTGCTGGTCAAGATCATAGGTAATTTAATTTAAATAAAAACTAATGTCAATATTAATAATACATTATTTTATTTGAATATAAATTAAATTTAAATTTAGTTGCTTAAATAAAAGTCAAATGACAGAGAAATGACAAATTAGTTAATCAATTAATTAATTTTATTATTTATGAATTAACATAGTATTAATAAACATTAATAAAAGTAATATATTTTACGTATATATTTAAATTCAAGCATACTTTTGACCGAGAATGGAGAAGTTTACACATTTGGCTGGGGCGCCGATGGGCAAACGGGTCTTGCACATTATCATAATCAGTACAAGCCTGAATTAGTCAAAGGGGATTTAGTTGGTCAAAAGATTGTCAAAGTTTCATGCACCGCTGATTGTGTTCTTGCACTTTCAGGTTTGTCGGCATTCAAAGATGCAAAATTATTCTTTGAATATTTATTGATATTGTAAATTTATAAACATCTAAACATATTAATATTTTGAAAATATTCTTTGTATTTTCCAGACAATGGTAAAGTATTCGCATGGGGTAATAGCGAATATGGGCAAATACCAACATGCAAGGATAATCAGCAAGTGAATGTAGCGACCGAATTAAAAATTTATGAAAAACTTGGACACATTGTAGATATAGCCGCTGGTGGAAGTTTTTGTATGGTTTTAAACAGTAAGTCATTTTAATTTTTAATTTATTATATTTCAGAAAATTAAGCAATCTAATTTTATAATTAATTTTTCCATATATATGGAATACTTTTATTTAAAATTCGTTTAGACAATAAGCAAATAAGATATTTTGTGCTATACCTATTATGTCGATGGATTAACTTTTCTTTGATTTCGAACAAATAAAATGAGGTTATACCTTGCATTTAAAATGCATATCTTTATACAATATTATAAACACAATTCAAATCATTCTATTTCAATTTCTATTTAAACATTTACTTTCAAATGTATACATTTTTTGTAGGTAGTGGAATTGTTTATGTATGGGGATTTGGAATTCTTGGTTTAGGTCCAGAGGCTCAGAGAGTTACAGAACCCACTTCTATTCCAAGCATACTATTTGGTACCAATATTTCTGACCCAAACACTAGCGTAAGAGAATTTTATAATATAAATGCTATACATTTATAATTATTTATAATAAATTGTATTTATTAACATTGCTAATAAGATTTATTTTGCACGGATGAAATGTTAGATGTTTGAGGTGATTTAACATTTTCTTCCAGACTATATTATATATGAGAGACAACAAGATATTTGAATACAATTATTAATGAATTGAAGTGTATAAATTGTAGATCAATATTGTATAAAATTATTATTATTTTTTAATATGTTTATTATTTAATGCAATTTTTAATATATAAAAAAAATTTTAAATAAAGTATATTTAATATTGATAAATTCATTTCAATTAGTGATATTTAATATATTGTTTTTTCTTAATAATATCGTGAAATTTTTAACATTATAAACATTCAATTAGCGAACAGATTCTTTATAACAATATAATAATATAATATTTAATAATGTATATTTAAATGTAAATTTCGCTGCGAAATTGGCGTATTTTTGTAGTTAAAGGCAATACATGCTTATAAAATAACAGATTTTAGTTAAAATATTTTATAATATATAAAACATAATTATTGTAACATAATTTTATTTATACATGCAGTATGTGTATTTTGAAAGAAATTTTTTTTTTTTTTTTTTAAATACAGGTTGCTAAAATATTTTGTGGCATCAGTCATTTGGGAGCATTAACTGCCGATGGACAGTTATACATGTGGGGACGAAATAAATTTGGAGCACTCGGACTTGGTCATCGGAAAGATCAATTTTTCCCGCTAAAAGTAAATTTAATCCTTTAACGACATAAACATTCTTACGTCATATCAAATTTTGCACAATCATTAATTTAACGGCAATATATTTTCATTAGGTTTCAGTTGGAGCAAAAATTAAAAAAGTAGCATGTGGAGTTGATCACACGGTGTCTATTTGTAAGCCGTTTATTTAAGTAAATAAAAAATTATTTTTGTAACTATGATAAAATTAAATAATTATTTATACATTATTATAGTTACTTCTATAAAAATTATTAAAATATATGAAATTTGTACATATAGATTTAAAACTTAAATATATTTGATAAGAGTTTCTTTTAAAAAATGTACGTTTAATGTTATGAAAGAGTCTTTGTTATGTTTATGTTGCATATTGCATGCCTAAAAAAAAAAATACATGATTTTCTATAAAAAGTAGATGAGCGATAGTATTAATACAGGAATAATAGACAACGAACTGGCTCCACTTTTACATTGAAGATTCTCATAAGAAACTGTGTACTTTATGCTGTCTGGATATCGGCATATTTTTGTATCTGAAACAAATTAAATCCCTGTTAATTCTCTAGGACTGCTAGCAATATTTAAATTCAAGTTCCTAAATCACACCGTCTAATACACACGTATGATAAAAATTAATTTTGTACTTCATCATATTAGTTAACAAATTTAAGACAAGCCTTTCGAAAAAATTCGTATAACATTTATTATTTCTGAATTACCTGTACAAGTATATGGTCCAGTGTTGGTTGAATTCGAACTTATAGATATGTAATACGGTTTACATTGGTGTAGGTAACTAGCACCTTCGCAAGTCATGGATAATGTATAAGTATTACTCGTGATTGTAGTGCAGCTCGTAGAAGTAGTAGTAGGGACATTTTCCTTTGTATTTTGAAGTTCTCTTGACACGCATATCTTCAAAGAAGCTCCATTTAATCCTTGAATCTAAAAAGAAATATATGTAAGAATGAAATATTATCAAATTTTGGATGATAGTACTTTTACTTAACTGATATATATATATGTACAAGTACGTGATAATAATTTATTCGTTATTAAAATTAAAGTACTCACTTTCACTTTGGGAAGATTTTCCGTATCATCACTAGAGAAGTAATTTGGATGGATCCTATAGTAGGCTATACCGCGTGATCCAATAACATTTATCATGGGTCGCGATGTTCCAATTTGTTCATAATTTGCTCCACATTGTGAATTTATAAGACGCCTCGGAACTTTAAATAGTATTTTTAATAAATGTCAATAAACTTGCAAACTTTTTTAATTACAGGTAAAACAATTGGATTGAAAGTACAAATTTTTGAATAAAAAGTATCATTTGTATGTAATATTCACCTTGTTTAATTCTCGATGGCAATGCATCAATCGATGAGTAAGAATCTGCAATTTCACTTACACTTATAGAAATAACATCGGTGTCCGGATTTAATACCAAATCAGACCATCGATCTTTTGGACCATAAGTTAGAAATAGAATGACCGAATCTGTAAATTTTATAACCAAAATTTTTGTTGTTTAAAAAAGATTGTATAATGTCAGTAAAAAAAAAAAAAAATTATGGCTTTATATTAAATAAATTATTAAAATCATGCGTGAAGTTTGAACGTTAAAAGTTAAAGTTGCTATTTCAATCTTATAATTATGATTATGAATTCAGTTAGTATTTGATTAAGTGATTTACGCTATATTTGAGTTTTGTAAAAGAAGCGATTTACACACAAACAGAAGATTAAAATAAGCTTTTAAATTTTTCATTTAACCCCTTTTTTACAATATTAGATATATTATTTCAATAATTTATTATATATATATATATATTGTTAATCAAATTTTTATAGAAATTTTTAAGCAATTGTTTTTTTATCTATAAATCTATAAAATATGTTTAATTGGCAATAACAAATTATTAAGGAGGCTTAATTTGAGAAGAGACTAAATTTTTTAATGTGAGTAGGTATATGCGAGGAGGTTCACCCGTGTGAAATAAATTATTAAATTCTCTATTAAATAAATACATTCGAATCAACAAAATATTATTATATTACACAATAGATATAACTGATATGTAATTAAAATTTTTATGAATTTACAAAAACATTTAGAACACGAATAACTCATTTTGATCGTAAAATTAATTTAAAAGAACGATAATTATGTAAAAAAATATTTATATATATATATATATATATATATTAGAACTAGTAGTTTTAGAATTTTTATTCTTAAATTATCTGTCGTACCGGAGTAATACTAATTTTCAATACAAATACTTTACCAGGAACCTCTTCTCTCATAATTTTTAATGCTTCATAGCAGAACTCCTTATCGCTTTGAGAAATGCTGCTTTGGTAAGGTATGATCAGCACAACGTCGGATTTTCCTCCAGCCCAACCTAATCGCTGCTCGTCATTAAGCTTCTTTATTTGTAAACTCCTTAGCCTTTCAAATGCTCTTGGTAAATCGAATCCTTTCGCGTCTAGAATATCGCGTATATTGATATTAATATTAATATGCTAAATTGAAGATAAATACTATGAAAATGATGTTACATGTTTCGTAGTTTGACGAATTGAAGATGTGAAAATCTAGAATACTATTACTCGAGTTGCTTATACTTGTCCCATCATGGGCATTTATGATCGTGAAATTACTATTATATTTGCTTATATCAAGATTTTCCAGCAACTGCCTAAAATGTAAAAAAATTTTTTAATTGTCATCATTAATTTAATTTTTTTATTTTATTTGAGCTTTCAGCAATTATTTATATTTTGTTTAGACATCATTTATACGAACGAGTATTTGCTTTAAAGGATAGAATAATGAAAATATTTACCCAAGGATTTGTTGAATTACATCAAAAGGCCAAGTTGTATCAAGAATAATTGTTAAATCGACTGCCGGTTCATCGATCATTCCCAAAGCTCCATGTGTATTGTTGCAAATCATATCATTATTCATTGTTGCTAAAAAAAAAACATATAATTTTTTATTAAAATTAAAATAAAAAACAAAATTCAATATTTAGAGTTAAGAATATTACTAATTTTTATATAATAAAAGTACACTATCAATTCAATCGTAATAAAAATATTAAATTAATTATACTATCGATATAATTATATTACCTTATTCAGCAAAAAATAAATATATATAATAATAAGCTTTACAGAAGTATCAATTATAATATAAAATTCATTTTGAAAAAGTTTTAACTTACTTTAATTTTGTAAAGAAATTTATTGGACAGTTTTTTTTTTTTTTTTTTTTTTTTTTTTTTTTTTTTTTTTATTTTTTTATATGTATATCCTTCCAACTACGGTCGTTAAAATTTACTTTTATTCAAATATGTGTTCAACTATGTTGAATTGATAAGATTATTGTTATTCGTTAATATATATTATGATTTATGTATTTTTATGCTTTAATTTAGTTTATACACATAAATACATAAAAAATAAAATAATTTATTAAAGACCATGAAACTATTAATCACAATAATAATATTAATAAAAGCTATACAATTTTGTTTTTCAACGTCGTTTACGAAAAATATTAAATCTGTAAATATTAAATGCAGAAAAGCAATAAAACCAATTGAAGGAATAATAAATAATATAATATATTAATAATACAATTATTGAAATTTCAATTTTAATTAAATAAAAAATTATGAAAGTTCCCTCTATAAATATTGAAAAACCCTTTTGCTTTCAGTAAAAATAAAATACATAATAATTTCAACATTTAATGTTTTAAATATAATATAATAATAAATTATCAATAACAAATTAAATAATGTACTAATAAAAAGCATGCAAGTAAATGAAGTGAAATAATAAGCAAATTATTCGATTTATAAATGTAATTGTCAGAAATAAAAGAAAATTAACAAAAATTTATCATTATTTTGTGGCGAAAATAATTAAATATTTGAATAAATTTAAATAAATCTTAATAATCAAATATCGATAATTAATTTTTATAATAAGTAAACTCAATCTCGATGAAATAATTGTATTATATCTATGATTATATTTGCTTTTTTTTTCAATTTTTTTACCTATGAACGAGGATAATTCTTTGAATCATTTGTATAAATTTTATTTGAAGAATTAATATATATTATGTATAATGTATATATATATATATATATATATATATATATATTTCACTTGTTTTATCGAATCCTTGTATCTAAGACAATTTTATATATTTGCTAAATATAGTTAAATATTTATAATTTTACCACCATTTAATTTTTCTATTTGTATAACTGATAATTCTACCATATTATTTTCTTACTTGCGTTCTCTTACAATAATTGATAAAGATTATAAATTTATTACCGCAATAAATATTTAAATATAATGAAAGCTTGGATTTTATGAGATATATGTTAGAAAAAAAAAAAATTATTACTGGATTTTTATTATCAAGGCATGATCTTTCAAACATCAATATAGCATTTATTAATAGAATATGACATTTAACAAAACTAAACGATGATTGATTAATTCGAACGCTTTCACGTGAATGGTACTTAAATATTTTTTATTCGTTTATTTATTAAATTTTTTATAAAGATCCTTATGGGAAGCAACGCTATTTAACAATTAACATTTGATCATACTTACTTATAAATGTTGAAAAATCTTTTACAGCTTGCGTAGAAAATTTTTCAATAGATTTTAAGAAAAATGTTGCCTTTGCTATTTCAGTACTCAAAATGACGGCTGCACTATATGTCTAAAAATTGAGAAATATTTATCAAATACGATAAATAACTTATTATTATTATTATTATTATTATTATTATTATTATTATTATTATAAATTATATAATGATATGTACGTATCATTTTTTTTTTCAAATTAATATCTCATTTGTGAAATTTAAGTTCGTTACGATTGTTTTATCCGATTGACGAGCTGCACGATTAGCGATTTACCTGAGATGTCAGTGTATTTATAGGAGCAACGTTTGGTAGATGTGTGCGCCTGTCGCAGGCGCGGTTATTAGGATCGAAAAATCCCTTGTTGCTGTAGTACATGTCGAAAATTTGCGATAACTTTAGATTCCCAAATCTGGAATAGTGAATGGGCACTTGACTCGCGAGGACGAGGCCGTCAATGCCGCCACGTAGCTCCGCGGCTGTCATCTGCAGGTTTTCATTTGCATTTAGAAAATAATAGCGCGGTTGAGTGGTTGAGTTCCAATTTCCATCCACCCCAAGATTGAAGTGATCACTCTGCTGCGGGCCTTGAATTAAAGCTACTTCGGCTAGATCACCTGTGTCATTACAAAAATATCATTGTGCAGCCAGAAGTTTTATATATAGTGAGCGATGCCTTTCTACTAGCAAGATAATGGATTGATGGGGTACGATATAAATATTTACATACTATAAAGCCTTCAATTTCTTGGATTTATAATCTATGTATTTTTTCTAGTCATCATTAAAAAAAAAAAATATACAACTCAAATTAAAAATAAATACAACTCAATGAACACATCCATTCCCAAATGTTCATGCCAAATTAAAAGATTTATCGTACAAGACAAATAATCCAATTGTAAATAATTATACATAATGTGTTAGACACGTACCAGCCAATGTTCCAAAAAACTTGTTATCCAAGTTTACTTCCGACAGTGAGTTAAGCACTTGTGGATCGTCACGTTGTTTTATTAGATCATTTACTCTTATCATCTGTGGCTCTAATCCTGCCGCTATTCCAGCCAGTACCAAACCGGCAGAAATTGTACCGTATCTGTAGATTGATTTTTTTGTTTTTTTTTTTTTTTTATTTAATCAGAAATGGTATTAGTTACAATTTGAATTTTATACTCACGGTGTTCGGACGATGCCATTCTCTATGGGACAACGACTACGTGGTGGCAAGTTTGTGAGTCGTGCGCTATTTGGGTGATTGGGAGGCAATGGCGGATATAAGAAATTTGGATCGACTCCACCCTCGGTTTTACTTAGTATTTCTCTAAATTTATATGCCCATTATTATTATCATAATTGATATTATTATCGACATTATTATCGCTCTTATAGCCTGACAATAACAAGTGCTTAATACCGTAAGATCTTGATTATTTATTCATAAAATTTAGTTCTATATATATGTATTTAATATGTTCTATAATAAATATTAGAATAATAAAATTTAATGTTAAATAATCCAATTCATGAAATTTTATCTCATGTACATTGTTTTGAATATTTTATGTGAATATTTATGTGAGTATAATGCAATTAAAAAAAAAAAAAAAAAAAAAAAAAAAAAAAAAATGTTCATTATGTATTTATATGGTGAATATCTTTTAATTGTTTAACAGTAAACTTAATATTTTCTGACAGGAATCGTAATAGAAAATATGGCGATGGCATTTATAGATTGAAGATTTATAGATTTTTGTATATCGAGGTTCAACAAATAATTATTATCAGTGCCGTTAATGCAAAAATTTTTTTTTTTGTATAATATTAAAATTTAATATTACGACTTCGTATATTTAATGTATCGAAAATTTGAATTGTAACAATTCTTTGATATAAATTAGTACAAATAACTAAATAACTATATAAATACATAATAGAGTAAATAAATTCTTACTTATAAATACTTATTTTTCAATCAAATCAATAATTAACAATTCTTAATGCTAATAATAATTTTTATGAATAATATCCATTTAATATTGAATATTAGAAGACATAAATAAATGTACGTCTTTTTTCTAACAATCATGTTCAGAGAAATTTTTTATGCTCCCTTATAAAGCAATAAATTTTAATAGATAATTGGAAAAATTATTTCAAGCATCGTATTGATGTGAATATTAAAATAGAAGCATTATGTTTGAAGTTAAATTAGTAGCCATTTGCAATAGGAGTAATAATAATGTGATTATCGTATTTATAACGAACTAACAATTGTTCTGGTGAAAGTGTTTCAACGTCGCTCTTCACGCCTTTATGCTGACTGGTACTTCTACTATATCTTTGGTAGCCATAATTAGAAAATTTGCAAACCCTGCTTTCATCCCCTCTTTCAAAAATGTCGATGCTACTTGACAGCATAGAATGTAAGGTACACTAAAACGTAAGACAAAATGAATAATATTAATAATTGAATAAGAGCTTATTGATATTTAGGTTGCCAGTAGCAAATAAAACATATTATTCATCATTCGAATTTAATAAATCAAAAAGTAGAATAAAATTTATTAATCATTGGCCGTTTTAAGATTGAACGAAGAATTATGAAATTTTCAAGGTCTCTAATGGTAAACGATGTGAAAATATATAAATCATGACATATTACGGTTTTATATAAATTTAAAATTTAATCACTCGAAATCGCTTCCTTTTGTTTTTCTTTCTCTTCTTCTTTTCATTCATTTTTTCCTTTCTTTTTTTTTTTTTTTTATTAAAAACAATGTCCGTGCATTGATATTTTCAATTTAAACTCATGAGTAATCAGCGCATTCCTAGCCCACATTTATCATTCGTATCGATTGGTAATTATACTTTTTTGAAAAAAGAAACGAGCGATTATTAATAAGATAAACAATCGGCTTACCCGTTCAAGTGCCGAGATACTATCATTCGGGAAATTGACAGCACTTCCGGGGATGACGCGAAGAGTTTGCGCATGACGAAAGAATTGCTGTCCAAGTGGCGCGTAAGGCATTACACCTACCTGTGCCTTAACTTTTGGGTTCTTGACAATACCATCTTGCCGAAAACTGTTATTTAACATCGGACATAGAAGACCATTCGATTAATATTATTTTTCCTCTCAATTCAATTTCCGGCATTTATTCATTAATGCAACTGAAAAACTGTATTCTAACGTTTCATTGCCATTTCATTCCGATACTCAATCCGCGCCCTTTCTGTCATGACAATTTATAACGTAGAATTTTGAACAATCGATGCTTATTTCTTTCAGCTTTTGAACATTTAATGTCAAGTTATTTCAATTATGTTTTTATTGAAAAATAGACTTATAAATTTTATCAACGTCAAATAGTTTGAATACCGCAGTTAAACGAGAGAATTAAATGCCGTACAAAATATTATCATGTTTTTCATTCTTTCTTTTTATACTATTGAAAAAAAAAAAATAAAAAAAAAAGAAAAAAAGAAACATATCCGATGGGCAATGTTCATACTTCTCAAACATACGTATGTTAAAAGTTGAATAATTAATAATTGATCTAATTACATTGATAATAACCCGATGATAACATTCGTAAAGGTATAATAAATATCATTACTTTTAATGGGCAACGTCACGACATGTAAGCGGATAATCTAAATTTTTCGTAATCTTTATCAAAATAACAAAGAAAAAAAAAAAAAAAAAAAAAAAAAAACAACAAAACAAAAAACAACAAAAGACAATGATATAACTTACCGATGTAAAAGCGTGGACAACAAAATACGCAAGTCCATATTTAGCCCAGGAAAATCCTCTATTTTTCGCAAGATGGCAACGAGCGTATCAATGTTATGTGGTAGTAAATTCCATTTTTTGTATGTGTCACCATCATAACACTCGATTAATGATGGAGATAAATTCTTCATTGCATTTTCTTGACATTTAATACCAACTGCGTAATCAATATTCAATTAATATTTTCATAATAGCGATGTAGATAGAGCGCCTTTAATCATATTCAACTGCATGACAATTATTCGTTATTAGTTCCCTATTCCTTATATAATTACTTTAATATTACATTAATATTTATTAATAATGGAATAATCCGATTAGCTTCTGTGCAAATTTAAATTATATTCTTATTTTGTAGCGTTGATTTATAATCTCATTCCTATACTGCATTTGTATTTGATTATTATTATTATTATAATTATTATTATTATAGTTTAATTTTGTGACCTAATAATTTAGAAAATGCTTATAAATATAAATGATTAGAGATTATTACTAAGCTTCTTGTATATCTTTTTTATTTTTTTTTTTTTTTTTTTTTGTCAGAAAAATAATTGCCTAATAAAAATGAGAAAATAAAATTAATTAAATTTATCATTATACGTTATTATAAATATCGAATAATTTAGAGGTCGTATAGAGTTGCAAAAATATATTAATTTTAATTTGTACTGCCAATATATATATATATATATATATATATATATATATATATATATATATATATATATATAAATATATATTTATTTTTTATTTATATATATATGAATATATACTTATCATAAATTCTTAATTTTCTCATTTTCAAGATATTATTTCATTAGTTGACATAATATACTCTAAAATTTGATGATTAAAATCATCAATGTAAAAAAGTAATATATTTTTACTATTGAAATTCATGTTTTTATTTTTCAAAATATCATAAATTATGTATTCTATTAATTATGGTGTTATATATAAATTTCATAAACTACTTCAAAGTTTTGCCAGTTATAAAAATTATCATTTTCAACTATAGCGCTACAATATATCGACGTAATTAATAATAAAATGATTTTGTTTATTGTCGTTCTATTTAATAGTTTTAAATAATAAATTTATGCCATTAAAAATTCTTATTTATTCAGATTTATTTATTTAGGAAATAGTATGCCCACCCACGAGATGAATTTTATAATTTACCTTTGAACAATCACTCTATTGATTCGAATTATTATAGAGATGTATTTTAAAAGTTGAGGAACCAAAAAATCATTAATGTCATATTACTTACCAAAAATACAGATTAATAAACTAATGGGTAGCAGCACTAAATTACTCGTAACTTTCTTCATTCTTGCTTTTATTATTTTCTAATTTTGTACTTTAAACAACACAACTTGTAATTTGAAAAAATAGTCAAGCACATATTCTTTCACCCAGTCAAATTGTGAAAATTCGATGCGAGAAACAAGGAGTCGGATATAACGTTCATAGTTGCCGTAAAACTAAAAAGAGCGGTGAAGCGTCCACACCTTTCGGAAAGTCGTACAAAAGGTACACTTTCCAATATCGACGGTGTAGTCTCAGATAAGATATGATACCGCCGTATACTTTATTATCTGAGCACTCGTTATCTTAACACATACTACCCACTTTTTATGTATATAAGTGCCTCATCTCGTTCATTCTCTCTCTCTCTCTCTCTCTCTCTCTCTCTCTCTCTCTCTCTCTCTCTCAAAATATATTTCTCACCACTATGTTTAAGTAGATCTAAGCGACACTGAAACTATTTTTAATATTTCATAAAAATATTACAAATTTTCCATTTTTCTCAGATTCATTGAAGCAAAAAACACTTGTTAATTATTTACCAAATGATGAGGTAATACTCATTTTATTATTTGAGCCTGTGGCTTTAATTTTTATTGTATTTTATTCATAACATTTGAATGGCGGCTATTCGAAGAATTTTGTTATTCTATAAATTTTAATTTATTTAAACGTCAGAATAATTGAAAATGGAATTTCAAATAACAATCAATTATGAACTGTATATTATGAATTGTATGCTATATTGAAACGTTTCATTTTAATTCACATTTGGTAAATAATCATAATCTCTTATAAGTAAGGATTTAAATTTCTAACAATTCCTTGTTAATTGTATAATAGTGTTTTTTCTTAACTTTATGTTTTTTTTTTTTTTTTTTTTTTTTTTTTTTTTTTTTTTTTTTTTTTTTTTTTTTTTTTTTTATTCGTTTGAATTATATCATTATGAATTATAATCATATTATAAATTATGAATTATAAAGGACAATGTTTAATATTAAATTGTGTATACTTATAAAGAGACTTTATAAGTTTCAAATGTTAAAAAACCCATTTGTATTTAATTTTGTGAAACTATTTAGTTTTATCAAATTTCTGTATAGATTGCCAAGTTTATTATTGACGTCATTCGTTAAGTAAAAGTTGGTAAAATTAATTTTTGTATAATTCTTATATTCATATTACATATAGTTTAAATTTGAGTAAAATGAAAAATAGTAAAAATTAAAACACCGTTCCATGATATAAGCTCAAAGATAAAAAATACGATTAAGTAAATAAAATTATCTTGATTACAAATATGATTCATTATAATTCTATTTAGCATAATAACACATGTATTATTTAACCGCATTTTGCTTTTCTTTTTTTCTTTTTTTCTTTCTTCCTTTTTTTTTTTTTTTTTTTTTTTTTTTTTTTTTTTTTTTTTTTTTTTTTTTTTTTTTTTTTTTTTTTTGTATAGCTAAGCTAATTATTTCGTAATGAATAAATTGTCAGTGCATATATGCATGTCTTTAAAAAATTTAAGGAAATTGGAAGAAACTACTAGTTTTTTAAAGACTACAATTAAATTGATTTTTATTTTTTAAAAATACAAATACATTACTCTTGCATTATTATACATATGAATAAATATAATTTCATTACTAATGGTTTAACGCATTATTATTATAATTTTCATTGTATATTAAATTCTTTTGACAATATCTTAAATGTATTAATAATACTGTAATTTTCTAAATTAGTTAAAGGGTATTTTTAATAAATATCACGTTTTATAAACGATTAACAACATAAAATGCGCTCAAGAATAGATCAATCATTAACATAGAACAACTTTTAATAATAAAGTTCTCTTTGGACACAATTTATTTCCGACTATATATTTGCATTAGCGCTTTCTATCTATCATTATTCATAGACCGTGTAAATGATTTTTGAATTTGTAAATATAAGAATACAAAGTTAAACATGCACCGTTAACTAGTCAGATAAATATTTCATTATTTTGCAATCCATATCCCTACTTTATTCTTATCTTATCAGATAGAAAAATATGTTGGTAGAGAATGAGTATCAGTCAGCCAACTTTTGTTACTTCGATTGAATCACATTTATATATTCTGCTTTACTACGTGTATAAACAGTCGTCTAATGCCCTTTTTTCAAAAACATGTTGCTGTGCTTTTAATTTGTATATAGATGAACAGTTCGTTATGACAGACTATGAAAGTGCTCCTGGCCCTCGTCATTTTATTTATGGTATCAGTTGGTAAGTTATTCTTATAAACTCTTAAATGCTTATGCATATATATATAACCGAATAAAAAAAAATTGCCATTTTACAATAAATTGGTATTAATAAAACGTTGAGCTATCTTTTTATTGATTTTATATACTTTCAAATTTAATACTTTAGACTGAACAAGCAATATGTTACATAAAACGGAATTCCAAGTATTATCAATATATTCGTTAAAAAAAAAAAAAAAATTAATAAATAAAAACATAGAAGTAATTATAAGAGGGTAACACGAGTATCATAAAAAATGTAATTCTCGCATGATTACAGTATTTTACGGTTTGATAAAAAATCATTTTACTAATTATAATAAATAATTTTAATGTAGCGATGAAGTATTGGAACTTTTTAATTAAATATATATATATATATATATATATTTTTTTTTTTTTTTTTTTTTTTTTTTTTTTTTTGACAAATGTCTAATATGTTAGCATAAATCTAGTTTAAAAGAAATTTATAAATATAATAGGTGTAATATGTATAGTAGGTAATGTTTTCTTAAGTTTTGACGGGAGGATTTTTTAGTGCAACTCAATCGAATGCTTAATTAAGTTAACTAATAGAGTTAATGAAGGGATTTAAAAGAAGGTAAGGAAGATGCTAAAAATATTTTGTAATCGTTTTATGTTTCGAAAATTGTTACAATGTAACTATATTTATCGACAAAACTCTGTACAAGTGAATTTTAATCAGATTAATCGGTTACGATAACTTGATTACAATCAAATTCCTCGTTACGACTGCATAGTCTCACGTTTTAAGTACTTATTAATTAAACATCTTCAAATGTTACTTCTTAAGTATAATTTTCTAGGTCGATGTAAAATCTTTCTTAATAATGTTCATACGTTTTTATCTGTAGATCCGTTACATATCCTTGTTTTTGTTTCTCTTTCCATTACCATAGAGGAATATTTTTAAGCGTTATCTTTTATTAGACTTATTTATTTTTTAAAAAAAATTTTCTGAATTTTTCATAAGGCCATCTAACAATTTTCAAACATTATCTCTTCGATCTGTACTTAGCTATAGTTTCGATTATTTACTTAAAACGCGTATTCCATTGAAATGTGCTCTTTAAGCCTTTTTCTTGTGAAAATTAATAAGGTATTCGTATTAAAAAAAAAAAAAAAAAAAAAAAAAAAAAAAAAAAAAAAAAAAAAAAAAATACATTTTTGATATATAGTACATATCTCGCATTGAAATATTTCTTGTAATTAATTATTAATTTTCGTATATTTAAAAGAAATATTTATATTCTGTAATATCTAAAATTATGATCATACCTTTCGATGAAGCGAAATAATTTATTTTAGAAAATATACAAAAATTTGTAAATAAATGTGAATTTGCAAGTGTGTTAGAGGTTTTAATGAATTTAACGATCTTTTTGCAGAAATTTCTTTGGTTCACTCCCATCGAAAACTACCAGAATATCTTCGAGAATGTTACACTAACAGCAATAAATTCGCATCACCGCTTCCCTTAAATTTACAAACCATTTTAGATATAATTCGAAAAGTCGAAAGATTAACCAATGCATCTTTGTCTATGCGAACACTATCGACTTCGCTTATCAAGAGGTAAAACGTAACATTAATCAATACATATTTAATATTTTAAATATTAAATTTATTATTCAAATCGTAGTCATTTATCATTCGTCGATCAAAGGAATAATTAAATCATCACTGTTTGTAATTTTCATATTATAATTACTTTCTAATTTACGCGTAGGAATATTTGTTTTTTGAATAATTAATCTTACCGCGAAAAATTTATAATGTACAATAAAAATTAATATTTAACAGCTTTTAAGAAAGAAAAAAAATAATTAGTATAAAGAATATTTGTATTTATATAACATTCAAGAAGAAAAATGAGTTGCATTCTATATAATTTTATCAAAAATTAATTTTATAAAGGCACACCGTAATTATCCATCAATTTAAAGTTTTAATTTTTCATATAATCTTTTCCAAAATTATCATGAAATTATTCTTTAATATCGACGATTATCGCCATACTTACCATTAGTAATGATCTGGTATACATTTAAACATATTTTTGTATATAAGTTATAATTTCTGAGGTAATATATGAAAGTGTATCGATCTTTTAAATCTTGACATTACTTTTGTAATCGCAGTTAAAATTATTGAATAATCATTATATTACAAAAAGAAATAATTAAAATTTCAAGTATAATTAATACCGAATCAAATTATATAATCTTAATCTTTTCAACGACACAAAAATGTAGATTCAAACTCGATGGAATAGTATATTCGAAGGATCTACCTGAGGATGAAGGCGTACTCAGATTTTCTGTAAGTGGAGCACAACATGACAAACACCTCATCGTCGACGAATTGATACCCAGTAATATAAATTCATTTCCCGAAGTACTATTGACGCATAATGAGCGCTGTACTCTGCATTTCGCTATATCCAATACAATATGGGACTATTATGACGAAACTGACCAAATGTTTTGTAAATTTAAGCCAAACGAAAGCGCTTTTGGTAATACCTGTTATAATAAATTTACAAGTTCTGAGAGTATATTTTGTACCAAAGAAAAGAAAAAAGAAAGAAAAAAAAAACTTTTAAGTATTTATATAACAGTTGAGCTTATCTTTGTAATCGATAACGTATTTAAAAAGCTATTTCACAATTAAATATCCATGAAATAAAATTCAAAATAAGTCTTACTGGCAGTATTTTACTATTTAACTACTTAACGCCAAAAAAGAAAAACAACATTTTTTTTACATTTCAATAAAATTAACGAAAATGAACATGAATTAAAATTATGCGAAATTAACATTGATGTTTATAGATATGTTTGAAAGGACAAATAACGTTAGATGTCTAAAGGAAGGTGGAGTTATTCTAACACCGTACGGTACTGTAGCTTTAGGAACGGTACTTGCTGGCATAGCTGCTGCACTTCAACCTCAAGTTGTGGAAACAAAGCGGTTGTTAAAAATACGAATAGCCGATAAGAATGATGAAGTGATACCGCCAAGAAAAATGGACACCAAAGGTTCTCTTCTTAGGACATCTCTTTCCAGTGAACGTATAGACAATACTTGGCTGGCCACCGTTGCGGGTAAACTCTCTCTCTCTCTCTCTCTCTCTCTCTCTCTCTCTCTCTCTCTCTCTCTCGGCTAAGTACGATATTACACATCAAAAATTATATTAATAATACAATTCCCTTTCTTTTCACATTATAAGTTTTTTTTTATTACCTTTGTTTTACTTTTTATAATGAGAAGTTTTTTTTTTTTGCTCCTTTTCATAAATAATTTAAATAGTTTCTTTTATCGTTTATATTTTGGTGGAACTTGATCGAAATACCACAATAAGTATACATCAAAATCATAAATATTAATCAATAACTCTACTATAAAATAAATTTTTAAATGTTTAGTTTACTATTTTAATAGTTTTATTAAGGTGAATTGGCTGAAATGGCTGTATACCAAGGACCAATTTATGATGATCAAATGTTTATTGGCGCCACAGGATTTTGGGATCGTACTATGCGCCCGCATTTTTACTATATAATGCATCCTTATGAGAATTTCGATCTGACGAGGGCTGAAACAGTTGGAGCGATTGACGGTAACTTTGAATTTAGTCCTTCGATAGAAAATTTTATTGCGCAATAGAATGACATATAATCCTTGTCATTGCACGATCCAATAAATTATATGATTAACTTATTTATATAATCATTGTTTTAAAATTTATCGTATAAATAAAGATTTACAGCATAAATAATAAGTTAAACTAATAATTATAATAATAATAATAATAATAATAATAATAATAATAATAATAATAATAACAACAACAACAACAACAACAGAAGAAAGGATAATGTCAAAGAAATGCGCGATTAATTTTTCATTGTATTACAAAAGCTTTTATGTTTAGGTCTTATAATAGCAAAGAATTTACATAGTTGGACAAGGAAATTTGAAAATCTTCGACTTAGCCAAGTATTGGATATGTATTATTCAGAAAGTGGTGCATTTTTTAATAAGAACGTTAATGTGTGCGAGCGTGGTGAACAATTTTTACGTATTGCTCCAAGGAATACTCTACAAGATCAAGTCAGTATCAGTTATATATTTAATTTTACAATTAAAAAAATTACGCGTTCATAAGAATTTCATTCAATTATTTTCACTCTTATGTAAATTTTGTAATTTTTTTTTTTTCTATAAATTTGTAGACTTATGCCGCTGCTCAATTATTAATGTATCAAAACAGTATCGCAACTATGAGTGATGCAATATTACAACAAATGGTCAATCGTTCCATTAATCACTTTATGCAATACACAAGTGAGCATCTCTTTACCCAAATACATTGTCGGTCTCCACTTAAGCAGCAAATGCGCGTCGAAGTCATATTTGCTTTCGATGGATCTTGGACCAGAGTTTACACAAGTGACTTTCTAGCGTAAGAGTGGTATTTCAAATTTTATCCAACTAATTATTTTTATGGCAAGTGCGATATTCTTTTATAATAAAATTAATATATTAGAATAAAATTTCAACACACTAGAATCAATAACAAGGCGATACGTATAACAATAGCTTAATGATATTAACAACCATTCTTGTAAAACTTTGTCGAAATACAAAAAAAAAAAAAAAAAAAAATACATATATCAATCATGTAAATGCAAAATATCAATTTAACACTACAATATTCTCATGAAACGTTAAATTTTTATGTATTATTACTGTATAGTGTGAAAAATAATATATAAGTCTATATTAATTCAGCGCGTGTATTAAATATTCCAATTTTCTACGAAACTAAATACATTTAATAAAAACCATTTAATTAAAGCAGCATGCATAATATTATATATAATATTATATAATATTATATAGGAAATTATTTATAAATATTTTCTTAAATTATATATAGAAGTTCACAAGAGTTTAATATTGTTTTTTATACATATAAAAATGCAATATTAAAATTAAGAAAATAGATAATTTTATAATATAATTTATTTATTTCAATATATTTTATTAGATCTTAGAAAAAATAAAATAATTAGATGCAACTGAAAGTTTATTTACATAATAATATTGCTAATTATAATGTATACAGAGCACTGGTAGATGATCTCAATGTTTCTACATACGGATCAAAAATGGGCATAATTCATGGAGAAAATGGTAAATGGTTGTTAAATGTAACCAATAGTCCATCTAATGTTCACACAGCAATTAATAATTTATCGAAAATCAAATGTAAGTAAAAAATTGATTATGCATAGTAAATACTTATATTACTTTGGTACATTTGATATATTTAATAAATTTAATATTTAATGTAATTAAATTGCATTTACTATAAGGAAAGCTTATTAAATTCTATTGTTTAAAAGTATTTAGTAAGCATTTATGAAGGCAGTCCTAAACATTTAAATAATACTTAAAATTGTATGTGTGTATATATATATATATATTTGAATGGGAAGATAAATTTTATTTACATAAGTAATGAGTGTTATTTCAAATATATAATACTTAAATGTAAAAGTATATTTTAATTCTGATTTTGATGCAGGGCCATCGGGTGTAAATTTGTCCGAGGTCTTTAAGAGTATTTTGACATATTTAGATGATAGATGGGAAAATAACTTTAATAAAAATATCATTGGCAATTATGGACAAGCTATTGTTTTTTTGATACCTCGTATAAAACTGACCAATAAAGAAGTCAAGTTGGCGTTAATAGCATTAAATAAAATTAAAACAAAACATCCAGGTATAGTTATAATATTAATTGCAGAATATTAATTTTAAGATAAAGATGCATATAATAATTATAAGTTACAACTACGTCACACAGAAGTTAATTTTATCTATTACATATGTGAAAGTAAGGCCGAGCTTTTAAATCCATTTATAATAACTAATGAAGATCAAATAATTACGACATTGAATATCAATGATATTTCGAGAATTCTTTCAACAGGTTTGTATTCAATCAATAACTTAATTCATAATTCATATATGTCAATTATCTAACGATTGTATAAACTTATTGATTAAATGAATGTAAATATATCATTTCGTTACTTTTAAAATACAATATGAATGCTTAAATACATAAAGATTGTAATAGTCAATGTGATATTGTTTTAATTTAGTGCCCATGATTTTAAGATCAAAAGAACCTAATATTCATACTATCAAAGGAACATTACAAAATAAATATTCAGAAGGAGTGTTTAAAACTTATGTAAGTCCATTGGAGTCTATTTCATATCGATTACATTCTCAGTGGCGAGACAAAGCAAAGAAATTTGCAATACAGGTATATACTGATCTTTGATAAATATTAAATTTCTTTTTATATTTACTACAACTTTTACTTGAACATCTAAAATTTCATATTTATAATGTTCATTGTATTGCAATTAATTTTTCGTAGAAAATAATTACAAGTAAAATAATTTTTTTAGTTAAAAGGATTAGGTTATGGAGAACTGAAAGTTTGTTGCTGGAATCCAGATACAAGTAATAGAAACGAAATAGTCACGTACTGTAAATATTTATCATTGAATGGACAAATTTCTTTATCAGATGATGTTTGTAATAATGATGGTAGCAAATGGCCAGACATGTACTGTCAAGTGCAAAATATTTCAACAGTTATGATATGCACAGGTAACCAACTTAAGTTTATTCTATAAAGCAATACAACATTCGATTAAATATTATTAATTATTCTTATTTTAGAAAACGATTGCAAATCACCTGATCAAGTAAAATATACTATTAGTGCGGAAAATATACAATGTTCATCTTCTGATAAAAAATTCTCTCTTAAATTACTTTTAATTATTTTACTTATAACTATCACTATATAGTTAAATATTTTATTGAACAAAATAAAAAGTTAAAAAGTATAATTTATTATCTATCATGTAAAAATAAATCTACACAGTAAAATGACTCCTTATTTACCACTATTAATAAGTATTAATAATTGTTGTATGCATATTCATAAATTAATTTAATTAGATACTGAAAATTACTGGAAGCGGCGAGATCACCCAATTCTTGTTCGGCCAAAATTAATTTAACTGGAGGTAGCATTTCTTCTATTTTGTTTCCTGAAAAGTATTATTTTTAAGTTAAAAATTATCGTAACGCAGCTTTATTTACATCATACAAAATAATATTAAAATATTTATCACCAAGCCAATAAAAAATTATTAATATCTAATATAAAATCATTCTAATATATTAGAACGAACAGAAATTATACTTGTTCAAGTTACTCCATCAAGCTCATAATTAAATACAAGCTTACCCATCAAATGAATTAAATCCATTAATTTGAAGAAAATCGTTTCTTGAATTTGTTGTTCCGGATTTATACTAACAGTATCCCACTTATCATTTCTTGCTGCACGTGCCCAAATTTTTAATTTTAAAGATAATTTTTCATCCTCTTGGTCAATATATTCAAGCAAATCAAGTGCTTTTTTGAAATCATACTCATTAGACATATGACTCTCTGTACACGTATAAAGCTGAAAGCAATAGTATAGTATAAGCATCGTATATTTTATTTAAATTAAAATAATTAATTATATATAGAATTAAATATTATCTAAACTTCTAATTCTAGATAGCTTGTTAAACATATACATATAAGAAATATTATATAATGATGCTATTTTATACAAAATGTACACTTGTTTATTATAAATTATAAAACATATTCTATTATAAAAAATATACGAAAATTTTTTAAAAAAAACTTATTAAAAATTTATTGTCAATTAAATCTATCGACAAATACTTGATTATAATTTTTATTAATTATCGATGCTTTGTTATTGATTTTCAATTGAGTTATATTTTTCATAAGGATTATTTTATTTAATTTAATCCTTATTTCATAATGAATAGTAGTGCTAATATATTTTTACCAAATAATAAAAATAATGTATGCTTACATTAATTAATTCTGAAGGATTAAGAACTCGTAATTTTTCAACATCATAACCATACATCTCCAAAACATTAACCGGAACATCTTCTTGATGTGCTATTAGATTTAATTCACTATTAATTTTTTTAATACTATTTTCAATTTTATCCTCGGTATCGTCAGAAGCTAAAAGAGCCAATTTTGCCAAAGAAAGCATTGACTACAAAAAAATTTTCTTTTTAATTAAATAAATTTATATTATAATGTTCCATACTGTATACTTTATAAGTACTATAAAGTACATTCATTTTTAAGTTTTTCAATCAAAGCAAAACAGTTTCTAAATGTAAAATTGAGAAAAAACCTTTTTCCGAGCAACGAGTTCAGTTTCTTCCATAGCTAACGAGTAAAGTGTTTTAGCAGCAATGTCATATTCATCGGAAAGAGCTGCTTGTACCCAAGATAAAACTGGATGTTGCAGAAGCTTTTCAGTTAATTCAGTTGCTCCACCACGACGACATCTTTCCACCAATTGACCTTGACGTCCATCTTTTACATACCTTGGGCAATTAAATATATTTATACGGAATGAACTTGAAAAGGTTTTCATATTACAATTTAATACGTGGATAATTGTTTTTAATTTATATTTTAGATAATTATAATAATTATAATTGATAAAATATTATTCGTTCGAACGAAATTATGATAATGTAATTTTAATAAAAATAACTTTCGAATAAGTTTGAGGTTTGAAAGATTGTTTTACACGAATTTAACATTTTTTACCATGAGAATAAAAATCCTGCAAAATCTTGACTAGCAAATTGTTCCATGTAATTATCGAGTCGATTTTTGTTCTTTGTTAATTCACAAATTTGAATCAATGATGCAAAGTCGCAATACTTTTCAGCAAGCATCGCTGCATTTTCATATTGTTCTTGCTTTACTATCAAAGTAAATTAATTATAAAAAAAATTATTCAGAAAATTCATTAACTGCTTTGAATAAAAAGTTTATTTATTTACTTACCTAAAGGCTGAATTAAACTTGTTCTTTCTCCCTCGTATTGTTTCAAAAGAATGTCGAATTTTTCAGTTCCTCTGATACTTTCTAAATGGCACTTCCTTCCATCTAAAATGAGATCAATTAATCCCACCAACTGCTCGTATAATTCACTTTTAATACTTGAATCACTTGTATTATTTACACCATGTTGCAATGTTAACTTTTGCTAGAAATAGGATTTCTTTATATTATATGTCACAACAATTATTATTATGTATATAAATATATAAATATATAAATATATATATATAAATATAATTCCTATGGTTGGTATAATAGAATGCTTTATTAATTCTAATAAATTCAGGATATAAATGTTATTGATACATAATTTTAAAAGTAAAATAGGCATGTCACACAGTATGTGTACACATATGTGTATGTAAATGTTGACATAATTGTACATATGATTATAAAATGAAATTAGTACAAACCATTGTAGTGAGGCAAGTTCTTAAACCATATTTTCCAGAAGCAGCGGTCCAAGGTAAGTACTCAGTTACAGAGGAGCATCTTGGAGGAATATATTTTTCGGCATTATATTGACGATATTTAATAACTTCGTGAAGAACTCCCTATAAAGCGACATTAAAATATAAATTTTATCTTATAGAAATTAAAAGGTATATTTTATAATAAATAAGCTTACTAATAAAATTGAGTTCACTTGCAAGATATATTGTGCGATTTGTTGAGTGGGTCTTTCGGATTGCGACTGGTCAACTGCAATTTGTATTAAATTTGGTAAAAAACGATGAGCCTCGCTTACTTCTCTATAGAATATGTCATTTTGAGTTAGATATTCCGAAACAAAAGATTCAGGTTGTAAAGTACTTTTTATTACTTCATCTATAATTTCTGTATATCTACAATATATAGATATTATTAATTTTTACTAAGCTTAAATGAAATATTATTTTTCCATTTTTTAAAACACAAATATAAATATATTATTGCGTTGCATATAATTTAATGTAAAAATTTGATAATAAATCAAGTCATATCACTTTATGCGTAACAAAGATTATAAAATTTTATATCTAACAATTTATTTAATTATTTGAAATCAATCTATATCTACATTTAAATTATATGTACGATAAGTTTATAATTAAAAATAATAATGATTTGATGATATTGAGATTTAAAGTACCGTTGCTGGAAATTATATATAGTGAGCATAGCAATGATCTTTTCTGAAAATTCTCCAAGAACATGAGAAGTTGACATGATAATCCCTCGATATGTAACTGCACAGAACTAAATAAAAAAATCATTTAATTTATTATGGTGAAATTTTTCTAATTTTACGAAGCTAAATATTACTTAAAAACCATATTTGTATTAATTTTTGGTTAATACTAAATTTTCTTTTAAAATATATTACAAACTATTAGAATTCTATTATAATTCTTATTATAATAAAACAAATATAGTATTTTATATAAAACATAAATTGAAACTTACTCGAGTCCATAGGTTGTGTTCTTTCAAAAATGAAATAAATAGGTCGATAGATTTTTGCTTTCTTTCAAGTTGATGTGGAATCTGCATGTCTAAGACGGCATTAAGGGTAAACGCTGAAATACAATAAAAAAATTAATTATAGAACAAACGAAATATTTAAGAATTAAATGTTATTACTTAAATCTCTGTGATTTGCCCATCTTGGATCATTTGCAGGATAATCATCGATCAAATACTTTGCAACTTTCAAGACTAAAGAATCCAAAAAAGCATCGATATCCATTACTGGTTCTTCTTGTAAAGGAAAAAGTTCTGTTAAAATTTCATCACATTGTTCCTATATTACAATTAGTGGTAAAAATAAAATATTTAAATTATACTAATTTAATATAATAAATCTTTTATTATAATAAGTATTTTTAACATTTAGTAAGCAAACCTTATTTTGACGAACACTTAAAAGAAATGCTGCTTGGAATTGTCTCACACCATCCGAACTGTGAAACATCTCTTTTATCTCATCATTACTGATTAGAGTGATAAAGTGATCTGGTATCTGGTTATTACTTTCCGAATAATCTATGCTTAAATTCATGTCTGAATAACTTCTGTAATACATAATTGTATAGTTGCATATTATTCTGTACATCAATATATAGTATTTCTATTTTTCAATCATGCAAGTTATAATCATTCTTTATTTTTATTACTTTAGAATGATAAAAATAAAAAAATTACCAAATATCTGTCAAAACTTACATATATTTGTAAAGTAATTGATTTTTTTAAATTTCTTATTTTAATGTATATATATATATATATATATATTAATATGCCTTATATATTTAAATAAATAACTATTATCAATATTAAGTTTTACTCTAACAAATTTTGTTGTAATTAATTCATTGTACAAATTTTATGTTAATAATATATTAAGATTGTTAAAAAATATAGATGTATAAAAAATGATGCGATAATAAACATTTCAATATTTTAAAAATAGTTATGGATACTAATTGAAAAAAATAAAATTTAAATGATAGAAAAATTAGATTTACTTGTCTTCCATAAACTTATATTTTACTAATTGATGAGCATTTTTATTTAGTTTCATCTTAATAAATTAATTTCAGAATTAACAGTTTTAACGAATATTTTTAAAATCTTTTTCTGTTTGTCAGTCAAAGATACTCCAATGGAACTTTTATCAATATCAGTCACTATTATAAAAATCATATAATTCATATGAGAATAAAAGTAATAAAACTAATAATATACACAATTACTAATACACTACAGAACAAGTAATAGCGAACTGTAGTATAAACAGACGTTTATCATAGATTTAAGTTTGTACCAAACTCCTACGACATACAACGGTAAGCTTATCTGGATAAGTGAATTATTATATATAGAAAATCAATTATATTAAGAATTACTGATTGAAGTCTTGATTCACAAAATCAGTTGGAGATATAGTAATTAGTCCATGATTTCTCGTGAAAAGCACTGGAGTTCCTGAACAAAGAGCACCACCTAATATGCTATCTTTACCTCCGCGTGTTAAGTCTATTTTATCTTGTTCATATTCTGATAAGTCTGTAAATAATCAAATTTTCACTAAAGTTTACACAGTATGTATTCATTTCAATATATTTCAATATATCAATATTCAATATTAGATAATTAATATTTTTTACAATTGGTTTTATTTTTTAAATCAATTACTGGAAAATATTTTTAATATAATTATTAATAATTATTACGATCTGTGCAATTACAATATTAATTACCTAAGTAAAATTTTTGTTATTTGAATGAGTAAATAAGCTATTATGCAATATAAATTTATATATAAATAAAATTTATTTATTTGTGTAAAATCTAACAATCATTAAGATTTACTTTTTCACGATGGTATCAAATTATTAAATTTACATTACAAAAAATTTTTCCTTTTTCGCAAATAAATTTACTATTATTTTAATATTTAGTCATTTTAAAGTAATCGAAAACTTTTATGAAATTTGTATTACTATTTATTACTTTAACAAAAAAAAGTACTTACTGCTAACAACAATAATATTGTTTTCGTTATAAACAATTATCTCCCAGCCCGATAGAATAAAATGGTAGGAGTGAATGGTAGTCTCTATATCATCGTTATGATATACGGGTCCAATCTTAATTGGAACAAACCATTTGAAAGTATTTGTTAAATGTGTACCAGTGAGAGGTATTAAACCAACTGCAAAATGAATTTGAGCAGAAACTTCAGCACAATGAGCTGCCATGAGAACAACAACACCTTCCTCTATCTGTTGCATATCTATCATCCACGTAACCATATTTTGTGGATTACATGCACTTGACTCCTATTAACAATATTGTTTAAATAATCTTATTTAAATCTATGATTTCATTATATTGGATTTAATTAAAATATAATTATAGTGCTTTCTTCATACACCAAAACAAATCTATTTTGTTATATAAAATATTATTATGAAGAAATATTGATTATGACAATTATGATATAAAAATGTTAAAATTTCAAATATATTAATACAGTTGAATAATTCTTAGAAGTGCAATTAACATTTTTTTTTTTAATAATAAAAATAGTGATAATTAAATAAATTTTGAAGAATTTATTTATTTAATTTTATTGAAAATTCTTAAAAACATAAAAAAATCTTATTTAATTTTCTTTATCAATTAAGTGCTTCATCGATTTATGAAGTACTACATGAAATGAATAGATTACGTCAATTGATAATTTATAAAAATTCAGAATGTTATTCATACCCATAAACGTCGTTGAAAAGATTGTATAACAATATGTCCAATATCTTCATCAAATTCCATTTTCTCTTGTTCTCCCAGTGGAAAAGACCAATACTGTAACGAATTACCAGCTAGAATAAGAATTCTTGATCCTTTTTCACTTATTCCAGTGCAAAGAACTTTTGTTAATTTCTGAAAGAATTTTAATATAATAAGTATATATTAGAGATATTTCAAGAATAATAACTGAAAAATCAAAAGAGAAATTATAGCAAGTTTAGATTATGTGTAATTAAATTGTAAAACAAAAATAAAAAGAATTTGCTTGGTTAAAATCAATAATTTTAAATAAACTACTGTATTATATTTTACAGAAATTATGAAAGAGGACTATGATAATTTCAAAATTTAAAGCATCAAGTAAATCAATATACAATTTTTGAGAAGAATTAGATTATTGCGATAAGAGGTATTTAGTGGATCGTACTACATAATTTATTAATTTTTTCAAATATTAATTAACCTTCTGCATTACCTATCAAATTTTAACAAATTGTATACTGTAGTAGTATAGTATTAAATTTATTTAATATAATATCAATTAATTAATTAAAGAATTACATTTGAAAATCATTAATAATGAATAAACATGAAATGCTATTGAAATTATTTACAATATCTATTATCTATATACAATTAGAATTAGAAATTAAAAAATTGTATTTTTATATAAATTATTAATATAATTTTAAAGGAAAAATATAAAATTGAAATCCTTACTGTTTCCAAAACAGGCGATTGTGGCATAGCACCAAAAATTAATGATGACATTCTTCTACCGATACCACCGAGCCAGCCTTGGCTTGTTCTTAATACCCTGCAATTAATACTGCCCCTACCACCTGTGTATTGAGGTTGTAAAAGTGCTACGGTACACGTAGTCGTGGCCAGGATGCAACCGTGACCAGGTATATAGGTCAAACAATCAACTTCCTGACCAGCTAATTCTGCGCTAGTTTCAATCGATAATTCCTCATTAGCAATACTAGCCCAATAACGAACGACACCTTCTGGAGAAACTGCCATACAGCTTGGAACCTGTATACATATTTTATTTATTCACTTTGTGCTGTGTTAATTATACGATTACAATGTAATTTAAAATAGTAATTATGTATTGAAATTATACAATGTAATAATATGTATTTAAATACACTTTAAAATTTCTTTATAAAAATATAAAAAATTTCATACTTATTTAAATAATGTTTTAATTATAAAAATTTAATTATCCTATTTTCTCTTAATATAATTTTTTGATATAATCATATATATTTATATAATTTATATATTTAATTTATGATTTCTATTATTCAGATTACTTGTTGTCCAGATGGCAGCCAAACAGCGATACATTCTGCTTTATGTGCTAAGTCACTCTGCGGTAATAAAAGTTCACGGCATTGAGTTTTAAAAGTTCTTTTTTGTTTTGGATCGTGTACTGTGATTTTGCATTGCCATACAAGCAATCTTCTTCCACAAACAAGCCATGCCCAGCCATCCAACGAAACACTAACGCTAACAAATGTATTACGCTCCACGAATGTTAATGCTTCGGTCACCAGAACTGGCAACGACGAACCAAAATTTTGGACAACATGACTCGCTGTTCTGCATATTATCTGTACCGATTGATTGGATTTTCCAGAAATACTTGCACCACTGAAAACAATGCGATGATTAAAATAAAAATAATTTATACTTACAATACATAAGATAATAAAATAATATTTAAATATATATTTTGTAATATAAAATAAAGTGCTTTCTATACGTACGAACTGAATTTTTTTAAGGATTGTACCAAAGATAAACGTCTTCTTGGAGAATTGACATTCTTACCTACTAAATTACCAATACCTGATCGATCCATTATATAAATTATATGCAATATTAAATTATATATTTTATGTGCATTAAGCAAACAAGTGTAGATATTTGTGGTTATGTTTGTGCTATACAGCCGGTAAAAATAAGAACGAACATAAATTACAGCACACAAATGAATCAACAAAAACTCCTTTCCCAAATTTCTGTATACTTAAGAATAAACAGCTCGAAAAGTTTTACCCCATCTAAATGTCTTCTATTTACTATTTTTAACTGATAACACTACCGGCTACATTAAAAATAATTGTAATGGAATGGGCAGCGAATATTACGTCAATTGCAAAAAAACTCAATACTTCCTTTCGCAGCACATGTATTCCTTTAATATCTCACATTCAACCAATGTATTATATAATACATATTTTTATTTCGATTATGCGTATGACAATTGTCCAAACTTAAATGACAAAATTTTTTTATCATTAAGATATTCAAACGTGCATATTTCTGTAAGTCATAGTTTTTCGTATAAATTTGAATTCGAAACAGTTGTGTTCGATTCAAGGCGGACATATCGTTAATTATCTATACCTGCGTGTTTTGAGTGGAATAAAGTAAGACAGATTTATACACACTGCATATCGAGCATTAAAATTTTTATTCTTCCATTGAATTTTATCTACTTTATTTCTTCGAAGTGCATAGATTAAAAAATTGATACTCTTAGGTATTTTTCAGTATTTCCCCTTCTCGCTCTCTCTCTCTCTCTCTCTCTCTCTCTCTCTCTCTCACACCCATTTAGAACGAAATCTATGCATATAAAGTTATCAATCAACGCCAATGATTTTTCTACCGACGATAAAGTCAAATACAACTGTATTGATAAGAATGGTGTGGTTCAACTCATCGAAAAATATTGATAATTAAAAAGCCTATACAAAAAGAAAAACAAAAAAAAGAAAATATTTCCTTGACAGTATATTGTTGTTGACAGTATAATTATATTCTTAATGTGTATGGTCACGTAGTATGGTATAGATTATAAATAAGTTGGTGCTAAATAAAAGTATCAATTTTTATTAAAGAATTAAGTTAAAAACATAAAAAAAATTGACACGAGACGTATGCGCGAATTAAAAAGAAAATTAAATTATGATGGATGGTCGAATTCAAAGCTCAACACAAACAAAATTCATATTGTCACGATACAAAATCCTGAAAACAAATTTTTTTACAAATAATATATGAGATATTTAAATGTTTTATGATATTTGTTCTAATTAAACTAAACTTCCGAAGGAGAAGTTGAAGTTAATAATACTTATCATAGATAAAACAAAAAAAGCATAAGAAGAATGTATTTATTTAAATTGTAATTTTTAAATTTCATAATAAAATGCACACATTATTTTTTACTTAAATCTAAACATAAATATATATATATATATATATATATATATATATATATATATATATATATAAATATATATCAAAACATAGTAATTTTTATTTTAACAAAAATTAAACAAGATTATACATATGTTCTTATGACTTATTTAATAATTCAAGCTTTCTTTTATTAATTTTATTATATTTAGTGTAATTCTGTAAGTTGTTATTATTTTTATCGTCTTAGAAAATTAATTATTTGTAGACAAAAGGTATCACGCGTAAACTCTTAAATTGCTATTAATCAATAAATGTTTATTAGACTATAAATAGAAAAACGTTTACATACATCAAACAAATATTTAAAGGAAAATCTCAAAACATCTCAAAACTAGTTATTATTGATCGATTAATTAATTAACTAAGGCTAAAATAAATAAATGAATTACCAATGATAATAGATTATATGTAAATTTATGTAAGAAAATAATCAAATATTTAAAATTACTTTATTCTGTTAAACGAATATTAAGAAACAGCAAAATTTTAATTATTAATTATTACATATTGTGATGCAATAGAATTTAGCTTGGAAATTATATTTTTTAGTTTCACAATTCGCATTGTTACGCATACACACGTATGCATATATTACTAATAGTAAAAACAATTGTATTTTTTTTTAAATTTATTTTTATAAATTTATTTTTAATCTATTGTAGTTTATTCGCATGAAAATCAATTATAATGTGGGGAAATAAATGCAAAGTAATAATTGAATATTCTTACTTATTAACTAAGTGTTTATGACAATGAAAAAGATTTAATAATGTAAATGTAATATTTTTGATCTATTAATGAGAAAATGAGATTTTTCTATCATTAAGTAACAATGCCCTAACACAGGACGTACTATCGTAAAAAGGGAAATTGTATTTATTTAGAAAACTACACCGCCTACATCTACTTGTTGAATACATTGATTATTATAAATGAAAATGATAAATGATTTTCGAGTGAAAAACGTAGTCTTGCATAAAGCGAACATTATTAATCGCTTAACGTAGAGCAACAAATATACAATATAACAAATAAGAATAAAATATACGTATCCCGAAGGAGACCAAAGTAAAGTAAAGCTAGAACAAGAGGTATAGTATTAATATCCCACCCTTCGAGTTCCGAGTCTAACCGAGTGGTGCCGAGTATGCGACAAGGGTCGAGGGGTGAATTTACGTTCGGATTTTGGTAGGTTGGTTCATACGGCAGCAGTCGAGGAAAAGAAAGCGACACCTAACAGGGAGCGAAAAGGAAAGTCAATCATCAGTTAGAGTGAAAACGCCTGTCGTGCCGGTTGTTTATAGGAGTAATAGTGGTGAAAGATAATGCATACTCTTTCCACTATGTCCCATATGATTAATCGAAAGTTAGAGATGTGAGTGGAGATACGGAAGCCTGAGGGAGGCGATTCTAAGGTTTATTCATGACGCTCATGTACAAGCGCACGACTATCGCATAATCTAATTTCTTCGCTTATTCATCTATTGTAAATATGAATTAAATGTTATTGTAAGATTTGTAATGAGAGCAGCGATTGAAGTAGAAGCAATTAACAGTCGAAAAGCTGAAAAGTGTGCCAGATTCGTATTCCTATTAAAAGAGTAGACAAGATTATAATTTCTTTTTAGATTTTATTATTATTATTATTATTATTATTATTATTATTATTATTACTTTTAACACTATTATTCTCATTATTGTCGCTGTTGTTGTTTTTCCTGTTTTATACAGCAAATAATATGTAAATGTATATTATGCATATATAAGTAGAAATCAAATCCCATATATTTACAATATTTATGAAACAGAAAATCTTTGACAATCATTAAAGAAGATAAAGTGAAGAATTATAATTAGGGTAATACATACTTGCCTCTATTTATGAATATATATATATATGCGCGTATGTATGTATGTGCGTGCGTGTGTGTGTTTGTTTATCTATATATAGACACGCTTGCAGGAATGTGTGCTCGATTTATATTTGCCGATTAATTAAGTTCAAAACTACGAAGTGCGCCAGATAAATAATAAAATAAAGAAGAAGTAACATACATATCATAAGGATTTCCTTTGCCGGTGAGTACTAAACAATGTAATACATATGTAATATATATATATATATATATATACATATGCATACATCCTCTCATATTTATTTATAATTTGTTTAGTACAATATTAATGGATTCAATTCATTCCAATGTTATTTACACACACACATATATATATATATATATATTTTTTTTTTTTTAACAAATATTAAATTCATAGATTCTTTATTATAAAATTAATACGGATCAATAAATCCTAAACTGATTTTTAATCATATTTTGATATAGTTTATTAAGCTCTACTTATTTAGCATTGATTATACGATAAGAGGTAATCAGTGTAGGGTAACAATGTATTTTAAGGAACCAATATATTGTCACGTGTATTATATAATTTTGATAATATTTATTTATGACAGATAAATATTTCATACAAGTAAATTAAAAATACAAATGAAATTAGGAAAAAATATATTATTTATATTTTTAATTTATTAAAAAAGAATACTCATTATAATATTAAAAATAATTATATCGAATTAGACTTCTATTGGTTAAAGAAATTAATATTAATAATGCTTAACACATATTATGGCTCTATTTTTTCATTCTATGCGTATTTAATTAAAGTAAGATAAAAAGGGTTTCGAGACCAAATACATCGCTCGTGTTTCACCTGTTCATTTACAAAAAAAAAAAAAAAAAAAAAAAAAAAAAAAAAATTATAAAAACTTATTTGACCTTATAATTTTAATTTAATATTTTACATTCAATAGTTTATTAACAAAATTTAATCTTTTCACATATTTATTCTATTTTTAAATTGCTCGCCTTGTATAACATTTTAATAGTATTATCGTAAATTCGTCATGCTTTTAAAAGTCTGTGATAAACAAAAATTAGTTTATTCATAAAATGTAAAAATGATCCAAAGTATGTTAAATGCATTCTTGTTAATTTAAAAAAAAAGTGCTTAATAACTGATTTCATATTTAACTTTAAATTTCAAATAAAATTACAATTGACTCCTGAACTAATTGAATTTAATACTAAAAATATTTAAGCATAATTAAAATCTAAAATATCTTACATTTAAAAATATCTTGATACAAAATATTATAAATACATATGATTATTTAATTTCGTCAATTAATACAAATGAAATTATCTACTTGTTCGCGACAATAACAGCAGAAATATTTCAAAATATTAGCTTTTTCAATCTAAGATGAAGTTTCATTTATTACACAAATATAAATCATAAATTTACAAGATTTTTATTTATCGACTACAGCAAAATATATCACCCAAGCTCACCGGGAGTTATCCCAAATTATATTTTGTTAGTCTGATGGCCTCAGCTTATTTTGCATATAACCCCTCTAAATTTTTAAGACAAAATTGGATAATAAATCAAATGAAAATCTTTTCTCATTCTCTCGAAAGTGCGAAGAAAAAGTGTTGATAATTAAACTTTGGTGAGCTTCATTGGAATATAAATATATCATATATAAACATTAACAAAAATATATGAAAAGTTCATTCTTGTATGGAAAAATGATACATACATATATATCAATAAATGTACATCTATAAATATCTGTAAGTTCATAATTTATCGTTTAACTATAAATTAAATGGCTAATTACAAGTTAAATCGCTGTCGTGAGAATTTTCTTTAATATATAAAAATTGAAATATCTTTTTGTTTTTCTCAATCTATGTAACTCAATATATGTATCTTTAAAATTTTATATTTACAAACTTCATTTTTCAACATATATTCAATTTTAAATAATCGAAAATATAGTTACAGAACATGTTTTTTGTATTACATTATTTTTAATTTAAAAAGGTTCTTTTTTTTACATTTTTTCATTTTATATTTTATATCGCAAGTTTTTAATATATTAATTAATATTTAACAATT